TTAAATATTTAATTTAATATAATAATTGTAAAATATAATTAATTAATTCATGAAAAAACCTGATTTTTACAATTTTAAACATTGGGGCCTGATTTTTTATTTATGATAGATAATACCTGAGCCATAAATTTTTCCCCACCCAATTAACCAAATATTAATAAAATTTTGCTTCTAAGTTGGGGGTAGGGCTGAGCTATAGCCCACCCCTACCTCCGCCCCTGGTTACAAGAGACTGAAAAAACTAAATAATTATCAATAATTATATCATAGTTTTACAATATTTTTGAATTTATAAAATTAGATTTTATCTATTATAATATTAAAAAGTATTCAATATTCGCCATGAACATGTATCTATAAAGTAGACAGAAAAGGAAATAAATAATTTCACAGTATATTCTTCGATTTTTCAATTCCAATATTTTCCTTTTTTGTATCATAATACTGTATATGGTAACTTTTTACATGGAAAAGGAATTTGTAGTTGCCAAATTAACCCTATAAATATGTACAGATTCACAGTTTTCCCTTCAATAATCTTTAACATGGATGGTTATAATCAGTCTAGCCAAGTAGTACATCTTGACATTACAAAGAAAGGCGAAGAAACCATTACACCTGACGACCAATCCATCTCCTCACTTCAAATTAATTTCGATTTTTCTTGTCGATTTTCGTACCATTTGATCCAACTTAGGGATTTACAGAATGTTTCAACCGAAATTCATCCATCTGTTACCCCAAAATCTGTCTGTATCAGCCAAGAGAAGTTAAACAGCGGAGACGAGGCTCGAGAAATCATCCTTAAAGCTCTCGAATCTTGGCCGGTTCGGGATTTTGAACGAGAAGATTTGATCCAGATTGTGTTTCATCGTACCAATGAAATTGCTAAGTCAGTGTCTCCAAACCGTAACTTTGTGTTTGTGCATGTCCATGTAAAAGTGTCACGTCTTCGGGTCGTCGATGAAAGGGTTATTTTTAATCGGATATTGCAGCAGTCAATGGAAGAAAATTGTAAAATGGTTCCCGCTAGTGATTCGTCGGTCGAATCCCTCGAGAAGAAGAGGCTAGAATATGATGGTGTTGAGAGTTGTACGATATGCTTGTCCGAGTTTTATCAGGGGTCGGAAGTTGTCACACGCATGCCATGCTCACATGTGTTTCATGAAAATTGCATCAAAAAATGGCTAAAGACTAGTCATTATTGTCCCGTCTGCCGGTTCAAGATGCCCACAAGTTAGATGTGTGGACGATTAATCCATGAGAATTCAAAATATGTTATCTATGTAAATCAGAAATTAATTGTGTGACAGAGGAGCAAATATTTGGAAAATAAAGCAATGGATGTATAATGAAAGTGTGTAAGTAAAATTGATTTAAATGTTACTAGAGTCGTGTGTGTCTTTGTCGATCTGTCTTATCGTGACATGTTTGATATGCATGTTAATACTAAAATCTTTTCTAAAATCGATCTTGACATGAGTTTAGAATAAGGTATGATGATGAATACAAAACATATTAAAGACATTTTGCATCAACGACTTGTTAATGATGTTTGACCTTTTAAAAAAAATTCGAAACTGTTAGATAATAAACTTCAAGTATGAATTGGACTTTTTAAAAATCGATACTAAAAATTACCAAAATTAGAACTTAAAAAAAAAAAACCATAAACGGTATCCAAAATTCCCAAGCAGTCCCTTAGTTGTAACCATATTTGGATAAGTTTTCCAATCAACCTATTCTCTTAGTAAGGGTGTGTTTGAACCACATTATTTTGGAAAAATGTATTTTTGAATAGTAGATTGATGGAGAATGTGTGGTTGAAAAAAAAAAGGAAAAGTTATTGATGTGATGAAAAATATTATTTTATGGTTGAAAATGAGTAAAAAAATGAGAATGAAAATTTTAATGCGGCCCAAACAGTGGCTAAAATTTGATTGTGAAGTTTTTCTTCTACGAATTTACAGCTATCGTAGTTTTTCAGGTTGGAGAATTAGTGAAATAATAACAATAATAATAATAATAATAATAATAATAATAATAATAATTTGTGAAGTTAAAAAGGAAATAAACAAACAAATATTCAGGTTAGTAATAAATTAATAAGACTTCGATATTATTTCCATATATCATGTCATATGTAATTTGGATGGTAAGCATCAATTCCACCAAATTGTAGACGTTCAAATGACGAAGAAGCAGTTAAATGGCGTCGACGACAAACCCATCCCCAGTTCAAATTCGTCAAACCCACAATTCTTTCGTGTCAATTTCTATAGTCTTTTCCCTCACGCCAACCGCTTTTCACGGCACCCAATAATGCTCATTGTTGGTCATTCAACGTATCCATATCTTACTTCAATATATTGATCGGTCCCATTCGTGGTATGTTTCCTTAGTACTGAATCTCATCTAATAAGGTTTCATGATCGACACGTCTCCGAGACGACATCTTTAGACGTGTCAATTGAATACGATTTGTTGATTCGACAAAATATCGAGATTGGATCAATGAGTGGATGAATACTCCGTTTCTTATGAAATTCAATTGAAACAAAGACAACCAACCATATGAATGGATGGATGGGTGCCTTACAACCTAAATTCCAACGTCTCGTTTAAAATTACAACCTAAATCTTTACATTCTTGACAATATATATTTTATACCTTAATTAAATAAATAAAATTAACCATTCTAATTAAACGCCTTTATGTGTTGGAGTTGGAGACTGCATCAAAATGAGTAGAGAGAGAGAGAGAGAGAGAGAGAGAGTTTTTTTTAAAGAGTAATGTGCAAGTGTAGTCGTAAAAGGTTGATTAAGAAAGTGTTTTCGTTCGAGTGCACAAGCAATTTCAAAATAGGATCTTACAACAATTAATAGAAGAAAATAATGACTCTAATATGGTTTAGGATTGTTCATTTAACGATCTTAAACTACATTAATGCTACACTTGCATACGTTCCATGTTAAATGCATTAATCCCATGTTTGGACTTCATTAAAATTTTAATGCGTTTTTCTCTTTCTTCTTTTAAACTTCAAATTTTTCAATAAAATAATGTTACACATAAACTTAAAAAAAATTTCTTACTTTTTAATCACACGTTCTCCAAAAAATTATTATTCCAAAATCAATTTTCTCCAAAACTTCATTAAAATGGAGCCCAAACAAGGGCTAAAAATTGTTGAGGACAAGTCGGTATTGTCCAATTTGTTGTTTTGATATGTCAACTAACTAGAGATACCATTACGTAATTCAATGGGTAGACAAATTATTTAGGTTTATATTTGTTTTTTAAAAAAAGAACATTTTTTAACGATTGTATTACATGTATATAATGATTTACATGATGATTCATATGCACATGATGTGATGAGATATGATTGAATCTAAGGGTGGCAACGAGTCGAAGCTCGAGCTCGGCTTGAGCAAAATGGGTTCGGGCTTTTTTTGGCCCGAGTCGAGCAAAAGCTCGGGAAGAAATTTAAGGCTCGAAATGGGCTTTTGCTCGGGCCTCAACGGGTCGGTCTGAGCTTTTATTTTTATTTTTATATATATAACATGTGCTGCCTTTAAATAGTAATCGCCACTTTTCTACCTTCCACTCCAAAATTTCTTTTAAAATAAATTTACATGGGCCGGCTCGACCCAGCCCGATTCCCCAAAACTGGGGGGACGGCCCGAGCCGACGAGTCAAATTGACATCCCTAATTGAATCCGAATTTATTCTTTTTGATATTTTATCGGTAAAAAAGGTAAGAACAACAGATAAACGTAACAATAAGTAAAAATTGGATGTCTTTTGTGTAATTAGAAAGTGATAGAACAAAACGAAATTGCGACGAACTTTATGAGCCGCCTAAATTCATACATATTGGACCATAGAAGTACAAGACAGTTTGATATCCCTTATGTGTAGAAAATTTGGTCATTAATTGACAAAATATTGTTAAAATTAATGTACAAAAAAATCTACTAACGCACATGATGTCAAACTTGATGTATATGTAGAATAATTGTTAATAAAAGGGTATTACAGTCATTTAGCATGCTCGAATTCCATATTTAATAAAATTTTATGCGGAGGGACACATTTCATTTTTTCCTAGAAGAGGAGGTTAATTTGATAATTTTCCCAAATTGGGGTTCTTTTGATTTTTCTCGTCTTAAGGCACCGTTCCATCCTGGTGTCTGAAATTGAAGATTCATCTTGGAAAGTGTCAGCGATCCCTTTCTTGTTACTCGTTATTCTGAGTTGTTTGATGTTTCTGATTTTAATTGAAATACTGGAAAGACGATGCTAGAGAAAATTGGGTTACCCTCAAAACCATCACTGCGGGGGAATAATTGGGTGACTGATGCCTCACATTGCCAAGGATGTTCTTCACAGTTCACTTTCATCAATCGAAAGGTTCGGTTGCTTATATTCGTGATTTCTTTATAGTTTTCTTGATTCTTCAAATTGTATTTTTATGAGGTTCTATAATTGATAGGTGGATCTTGGTGCGTGAAAATATGATTATTTAGTGATGATTTTGCAATTCTCTTTAATACCAATATCAAAAAATGGGTTCTGTGACTATTTAATTTTCGATCTTGATTTTCCAGATTATGAATATTTAGTGATTTTAATATGAATTAAACAGATGTTTTTTCAATACCTCATAGTAAGCTTTACTAGTGAGTTCACTAACTGTTAGTAACTTAGTATCTCTTATAATTGAAGAAATATGTTCCTTAAAAGTTTGAGGTATTTCTTTTGATATGCATCATTAATTGGTATTTCGTTGCTTGGATTTGGTTCCTCCAAGTGATTTAATGAGGAATTTCATCTTTTAGTTTCCTGATTAGATATGCTTAATTTGTTTGCTAGAACATAGTCACTGGAAATAAAGACAAAAGGTAATGGTCCAAACATAAATGTCTCGTGCCGTACTTTATCTTCATTGAGGAATAAGAAATAGCAAATCAGCAGAAGTGATATGAAGTTAAGGAACAGCATCTAATTTGTTGACTATGGTTTGAAACTATCCAATTTACAGAGTACATTGTTGGCTGTTCACAGCCTATAGCAACTATAGAGATGTAGTTTTATGGGCAATTTTATTTCAATCCTCTTTTCAAGGTATGAAATATCAAAGAAGGTATGGAGATATTTGATATGTTGTTCCTGTGAACAGTGTGATAAGATAAGTTGGGGGGTAAGGGGAAAAGGTGATCAAAATGTCACATCAATAAATTGAGGACTTTATGGAACTTCCCCCCTCACTCCCCTTTTTCAGTAAATTATAAATAAGCCTCACACCCTAAGGCAAAGAAGAATGATGAAAAGCCAGAGATTACTGCCTGTCGGAACAGAAATTGAAACTGGGTAAAAAGTTATATCTGAAATGGGAGAGGTTACTTGAAGGCTGGTGATGGTGAAAATGAGATATCTTTTGCTTGTAAACATGAAAAGGGAAGTTATTCTGGACGGGACCAGTTGGAGACATCTAGGACAAAAAAAGGGATAGAGATTCTTTCCACAAATATGAATCAAATTGTACTTTAATGTTTCACATGTTAAATTTCCACTATGAGTTGAATAAGGAAGGACTAATTAAAGGGGTAGAGATATGAAGGAATAAGCTAGTAATCTAGCCATGTATTTATGTCTTCTGCTAAGAAGGGGTCGGATACTTTAAGATATCACACTCTGAAATACAACGAAGTATTGCAAAGATAGCTAGTGAACTTTTACTGAACCATTTGTTGAATGTATACTCACAACACTCAGATCAATTTGCTAATTTTTAAAAATGGTTGGGCTCAAAATTTTGAAGAAATCTCAAAAGATTTATGTTCATAGATCCTTCTCCACTCATCAAGGTTTTCATTTTTAATCAAGACATCATTTTCTTTATTTATAATTATCTAAAAATTTATGGCCTTTTTGATGTCTTGATGTTCTCGATGGATCTTCAGCACCATTGCCGCAGGTGTGGAGGCATATTCTGCAATAGCTGTACCCAGCTAAGGATGGTGTTGCGCGGACAAGGGGACTCAGCAGTGCGTATTTGTGAACCCTGCAAAAAGTTAGAAGAGGCAACACGATTTGAAATGCGATATGGGCATAAAACTAAAGCTGGAAGAGGTACATTCTTGAGATTTTTGCTGTCTGAGGTTTAAATGTTGGTTCCATGTTTGCTTTGCCATTAGCATCTAGCTCACAGCCATTCAAGTTCTTCTTAAGTGATTTTCTTCTTGTAAATGGAAAGCTAAATCTTGCTTTGAATTTTCACGTGACACATAAATTCCTCTTTGTTTTCTGTCTCCTTTATTCCTTCCTAAATGAAGGAGTTATTTGTAATTTATCCTTTTATATAGATATTCATATGCCTTGTGCCATATGTGAATTAGAATAGGGGCTTCCTACAATTTATACGAACAATAGACCAACTCTTGCATTTTAGTATGTTAAGTAGATGAGAATCGTCACACTGTCACTTTCTAGTTTAAGAAAAGGGCACAAGAGAATGAAAAATACTGGTTAACTTACTTTTCTCATCTATTTGTCGTTTGACTTTGAGTTGAAAGAATTAGGTAACCAGTAGTACTAAATAATAGTATTTTAGTTTGCAAGGATGTGGATGAAATGGTAAGTATCGGTGATTTAAATTTGATGTCCTGGTGGCAGTCACACTCTCGCATAAGGAACAAGCTTGCTGATTTAGAAAAAAATTAGCATTATAATTGACATTTACCTGAAATCTTCAGTTTTCATACCCTTTCTTTCTTGGCTTGAACATCCAACATCTTTCAGAATGAATTTCTCCATCTGTCTTAATGAATAGATAATAATTGAAAAAGATGACCTGATCATTAGGTGTATTATTCAATTTGAAAGCAATAAATGATTCGGCTTGTTGAATAAATTTTGCTGCTCTTAGTATTTCAGTGATAAAAGATAGAATAAAATATTTATTTGATATATTTCTACAAAATCTGAATCCTCAAGTTTCATGGTCTCTTCTTGATTTACCTGATTAAGATTAAATAAAATAAAAGATCTTTTTGGTTTTTTGTGCTGTCTTGACATCATTATATCTAGATGTTGCTAATTAGTCATTGATTGCTTGAAGGAAAGATGTCGGTCTATCATAGTCTGGAAGAGGAAAGAATCGAGTTTAGACCTTTTAATTTCCTCTACAATCTGATTTTTCGGTGTTTATTTTTTCGCTGAAAGAAAAGAGGTGAATGCAATGAGGAATGCCTTCAAATCGAGATGTGGCACACTCCAAAATGCTCTATGATTCAAAATCACAGAATAGCTATACCGTTTCACATAATATAGTCCCTGCCTTATTGCTTTAGCTCCTTGCAGGTGGTTCCAAACTTGCATCAAAGAAAGAGGATGAGATTTTGAATCAGATTTTGGGTAATGAAGATATGCTTTCCGGACCACAACTGACAAGCAGCGCGTCATGTTCGAATATTAAGGAATCATCCACTCAGAATGGAGGGGATATAGGTAGAAGTATTTCTTTTGATCAGCCTGCTCAAGCTTTAACAGAAGTGGGATCTGCTACTCCTGAAGACTTGCGTCAACAGGCCGTGGTTGAAAAGAAGAAATACAGAACTTTGAAAGCAGAAGGAAAACCTGAAGAAGCCTTAAGAGCCTTTAAACGGGGAAAGGAGCTTGAAAGACAGGCCGGAGCTTTGGAGGTTTATCTGAGAAAAAGAAGTAGAATGGTTTCCTCTTCCAGTTCTACGAATGACATTCAGCAAATTAAAGATGATTCTATTTCATCTGGTGAGAATAATAAGCTCCCCATTCAGAAGAGCAAAGAAAAGGATGATCTTGCTGCTGAACTGAAAGAACTGGGGTGGTCAGATTTCGACCTTCTTGATAGTGGAAAAAAGTCAGCAGTGACGAGTTTGGAGGGTGAGTTTTCTTCGCTTCTCGGAGAAATCCCTCGAAAACCTAATAAAGAGAAGGGAGTTGTTGGCACCGATAAGTCCCAGGTCATTGCTCATAAGAAGAAGGCTCTCGAGCTGAAGCGTGAAGGGAAACTTGCTGAAGCCAAGGAAGAATTAAAGAGAGCGAAAATTCTTGAAAGGAAAATTGAGGAAGAGGAATTTTTGGGTGAGGCCGAGGATTCCGATGATGAACTTTCTGCATTGATACGTAGTATGGATGATGATAAACACAATGATTTGTCGGCACAATATAAACACGATATTATTTTTGATTTTGATAACTTAGTTGGCATTGCTGATGATGATGGTGTAGATGGCATATTTGAGGTGACAGATGAGGACATGTGTGATCCAGAGAGTGCTTCTGCCTTGAAATCATTAGGCTGGACTGAGGACTCTACTTACTCAGAAGACTCTGGTATTGAGGTTGTACCTCTTAACAGGGAATCATTATTAACCGAGGTCCAATCCCTGAAAAGAGAAGCTCTGAATCAGAAAACGGCGGGCAATACTAGGGAGGCATTGGCACTGTTAAAGAAAGCAAAAGTACTTGAAATGGAACTTCAGAGTTCTGATTCTCATGGAACTGAAGTTTCAGATTCCCAATCTGCAGAAGAACCTTTTATTCCTATCAAGGTGGGTGTTGAAAATGTAAATGACGTGAAAGATACGGGCCGAAAATCGGCTCCAAAGAGTAAATTGATGATCCAGAAAGAGCTTATCACACTGAAAAAGAAGGTTCTTTCTTTGAAAAGGGAAGGGAAATTAGATGAGGCAGAAGAAGAATTGAAGAATGCAAAGGTTCTTGAGGAGCAGCTTGAAGAGCTAAATAAAGCGCCCACAGTCAAGCACCCAAGCACTAGCAATAAGCAAACTTCCAACGCTACAACAATTGATCTCGGAAATGAAGCAGAAGTGACAGATGTCACAGATCATGACATGAATGATCCTTCTTATCTATCACTTTTGAAGAACTTAGGGTGGGAGGAGGACGATAATGAAAACGTTCTATCCACCTCTTCCAAAGAAAATAGAAGTTCTTCTAAATACACTGGCCACTCCTCTGTCACACAGGCCACTGCCAACTTTGAGACTGGGGCATCTAGAAAAAGTAAGAGTGACATTCAGAGAGAACTTTTGGGGTTAAAAAGAAAAGCTCTTACCCTGAGGCGCCAAGGAGAGGTTGAGGAGGCAGATGAAGTGCTGAACATGGCCAAATTATTGGAGGTGCAGTTGCAAGAGTTTGAAGTACCAATACAAAAAGAAGTTTTGGCTGAAAATAGCAAAGGAAATGCATCCATGGATGCTCCCCAAAATGCCATTTCTCTTCTTCAGTTGGACGGCCCCAATAGCCTCACTGAAGATTTAGGAAGCAAAAATAAGATCACAGTGGAGAAACCAGAAGTATTTAGTGAACCCATGCAGCCACTTACCCATGAGCCAACCTCTACTCAGGCAACTATATCTCAACTTGAGTCAAGTTCCTTTGAACAAGATATCCTGGCACATAAGAGGAAGGCTATAACCTTGAAGAGAGAAGGGAAATTAGTGGAAGCCAAGGAGGAGCTTCGACAGGCAAAGCTCTTAGAGAAGCGCCTGGAGGACAGATCTCATCCCAACACTAGCTCTAGTGATACATCTTCCTCTGATGTCTCTTCTGTAGAAAAGAAAGAGGCAAGTCCAAAGTCAGTCTCCAAGCCATTGTCCGGCCGTGATCGGTTTAAGCTGCAGCAGGAGTCTCTTAGTCACAAACGTCAAGCACTTAAGCTACGAAGGGAAGGTAGAACTGAAGAAGCTGATGCTGAATTTGAATTGGCAAAAGCTCTTGAATCCCAATTGCAGGAGTTGGATGCACATGGTAACACAGGGACTTCTGAAAATGCTGAATCAGTAGATGGTGTTAGTATTGAGGATTTTCTCGATCCACAACTTCTGTCTGCTTTGAATTCAATTGGACTAGAAGATACCAGAATTAAGTCCCAAAGCATTGAAAGACCCGAGTCAAATAAATCTGTGACAGTCAGGATTGGCAATGCCAGTGAAGAGAGAGAGCAGTTAGTCGAACGTATCAAGGCAGAGAAGGTGAAGGCAGTGAACTTAAAACGTTCTGGAAAGCAAGCCGAGGCCTTGGATGCTCTTAGAAGGGCCAAACTTTATGAAAAGAAGTTGCAGTCCTTAACTTCCCAGTCTTAACATTCTTTCAAGGCTGAGATACTGTCCACTACGTATGATTGATAATTTGCACGTTGGCTGCAAGTCGATCTAGATGCTTGAGGTTGGTGGTAAGACTATATGCAGACGAAAAGAATAAGCAGCAACATTTTTTCCAATTTCTCTATGTATTGTAAGTTGACATTTATAGTTACTATTTGTAACTCGATTTTAATTGAAAAGGTATGCAGTACATTTTGATTGTAGATGGCGTTCTAAAGTAGTCTTGTATGTTTGATTTTTTTTTTCCTTTAACTTTCTTTTTGAGATTGGATATTATGGGTGTAAAGTGCTCTTAGGCATTAGCTAGAGGGTGGTTGATGAATTATTTAAGGGCCAATAGACCACTTGATCTTGGATGCTCTTGAACATGGAAGAATGATCCTATGTTTTATTTTTGTTGGGCAAATTTCTCAAAATAGTTGGGATCTAGAATCTCCCTACCAACCCTAATTCTAAACACGTCTGTTCTTGTCAATGGTTGATAGTTCAGCTTCATGATTTTTACTCTTCACCTACAATGGGGTTCCTAAAAATGTTAAAAAAATGTATTATGTAGGTACAAAAGCTTATAACCATAGGGTCAATCACATTCCTTCGGTCTCAAGACTTGCTATCGGCATAGAACGGCAAAGGCCAGTTTTGCCACGCGAAGGAATATCTTTAGAGAAATGAACTTGACGCAATTGAGACCGAGTTGAATAAACTTGATCCTCGTTGAGTCAACTAGGTTAGAATTGGATATTTTGGTAGAATTTTACCAACAATATGTCCAAATACCTGTGATTTTTATTGTATTCGAACATCATCTACGATAGATACCACAACTACGTGTCATTACACGTGAGCTGGTAACTTTACACGCAAAATACTTTATTTGTTTGCAAAACACGATGACAATTCCACACTACATTAAGTAATGTTATATGTATATTCTGAGATCTCTCAAGTGAGGTGACATTAAATGATTAATTCAATCAAATGGCTCTCTCACACACATTTATTTGGTTTCATCATTTCATCCCACATCACCTATCACATCACATGGAGAAGATCCCACTTTGTACGTATAGCATTATTCTAATAAGTATTAGTTGTGGGTCTCCAACACCTTACAAAAACTAGATCGATCATATATTGCACCGCATTGCATTTCATTTCGTCCGAATAAGTCTATTGAAATGTAGTAAAATGCTGCTTATTGAAATACTCAACTTTGGAATTTTACATTTTTCTCAGTCTTGAAATCATTTTTCGCACTCTTTTCAATGTCTACCAAGCTATTGATAGTGGTACATACAGGGCAACTAGGCAACTACATAGCATGTGTACAGAGCTTCAAGAAAGAAACTCGCCTACCCTCTACAACTCTTCATTACCATCCTCTTTATCCCACCACAGAATCAACTAAGATGCTTCATTAACAGAAACCTACCTCCATATTCTATTTTAAGGAAACATGCAAATGTTTTAGCAATAAAGGAAATGTACATCAGCATATTGTTTTTGTCCATTAGCTACTATTCATAGGAGCTTCTCTGGAGTCCTGAGGAAACACTTCGGCACCGTCTTTTCTTCGACACACCCTGCATTATTGTTATGAGTGTCACCAAAAGTTCCATATGAAAATTTAAATTTATTAAGAGCATGATTACTGAAAAAATATTAAAGCAGAGATAATAAGGGAATGACAAGTTATGTTTTTTGTTTTTGTATAGTCATAAATTATATTGACCGTTATATTTGGATTTATCAAGATTATATCGAATGACAAATGAAAATACAAATTAGAAGAAAACTATAAAAGTTGGAAAAACAGTAATAAGTCACAAGTTATAATCAGAGGAAATGGACAAATAAGTCATGGCTTTGCATAATATGGTTCCAATATAACAAAAGATTTTAACCTCTATTTGAAGTAGCATTTTTTCAACTTGTCTAACAAGCAGAAGTGAGTTTAATGTTAGCAATGAATATCACTATGATTATTTCATGTTTGCAATTGTCTCATTCAAGCTTGGTCTAGATGCAGTAACAAATTTCAACCGGAGTAGAAAATTAGTAAGTGTGTCTCCATGGGACAAAAGCACACACACTTCTTTTCTTATGGTTTTCTCTTCTGTGGATTGTCAAAATAATATACTGGTCTGATAAGCTCAAAAAGCTTCGGGAAATCAGTTATAAGTATGAATATTTGCTAAGGCGTGACCGGGTAAACAGTCAACAAGATACTGGTGTGTCTTCTCATGCAAAAACTATATTTTGGTCCCAGGCAGTAAAAAGCAAGCCCACCACTCATAATTTTCATAACAGCAGCATCAATCTCATAGCTATAAATTAACACAGCACTCACACAGTATGAAAGCAAGAACGTGGCATCAGTTCTGACTTTGTTGTGATAGCAACAACTAAGCCTTATTCTCAATAAAGTTGAGGTCAGTCGCATGAAACATTTTTCTTCACCTATTTTAATTCGGTACTACATCTACAGACAGTTCCAAAGAATCAAATATTTCGTAACTACATCAGACTGTTAATCTACATGTAACTCTCCCTTTTCTAACATGTTCTATAGGATCACATCGCTCTTGCGTATAAAAGTTCCTTTAAGTCTATGCAAAACAAGTCTCAACTATGTAAGTTATCGTTCCCTTAATTTATTATTCATTGATAGAACCTCTACATGTTGGCTTATATCATCATTCCTCATCTCATGTGGGTAGATATAGAGGCCAATCAAACAAAGTAACAAAGAAAGATTCATGTTGTTGAACTTCAAGTTCACTGGGAATAAAATTTTAATTTATTGTTGCTGATCTATTATAGTACGGCCAATCATACATCTTAACATCTTTTTCTCATCTACCTTCATAATGTGGACATAAATCATAGCTCATAAAATAATCTAGCCTAGACGATGCATTTCAACTAAATATGTTATGATCGCCTAGAATATTTAGTGTTTATCTAATTTGCCTTATCAACTTTTATCTGAGTGCATTAGATGCTCTTCAAGTCCCTTATCCTTACTGATAAATAGACTAAATGCATAAAACGACGACCAATTGGAACAATTTGATCTTTTATCATGACCCTACTATCATCTTATTCCTATCCCTACTATGACTATAAAACATTTTAAAGGACTCGTTTGACAAGGCTTCTGCTTCTTGTAGAAGAGTTTCTTGAGGCAACCTTGAGCTAACTTCCTTTGAAAGCTCACTAGCCATACAAAGCATCCAGGAAATTATCCAAACGGATTAAAAAAAAGTAGTATTTTAGTCTCAAAAGCAACTTTTGACTTTTCACCTGCCAAATAGACTCTATATATATTACATCTACATTCTACTCAGCTAAATCATTTTTGCTCCAAAAGTCAGATTTATAATTTATTCCCTCCTAATTTCACCGACTAAAATTATGCCATTGATGAATAACATACACCAAGACCTAATAGTTATCTTTCAGAAAGTCATCCATGACTAATACGACGTGATAAGAAACCTTTTAGATAAGAAACTAAGAAAGTCTCCTACTTCTAAGCTGACGGAACTCTGCAACTTTAGTAGGGAGGTACAGGACAACACCGACTAGTAAGAAATGACTTTTATAACTTTGGATAAAAGAACACAAAGATTTAGGAGGAGTTCTCGTGAAGAACCCTAAATTGTAAATTAACATTTGTTATTTTTAATACCGTGTAAAGAAATAAGAGGAAATCTCAAATCATCTGTATTCCAGAATGTTCACTTGGTTTGTTAGATGGTCCCATAGCTGCAGCCAAATCATCCACATTCCAGAAGGTTCACTAGTTAGTTAGTAGGAGGGGTAAAAATGTAATAGGCTGTAGTAAGGATTGCCTATAAATAGAAGGGAAAAGAACGGGAAAGGCATGCAAAATATTGAGTATTGGTTTACCCGATTGGGAGACTACCAGCTTCTCGAATTGCTGGAATTTATCTTTCATTTCCAGTGTAATTCAGTCATTAATTCAATATCAATTCCCAGTTGTTATTTTCATTTAATTGGGTTCTTACCAAAATCATGGAAGACCCCCAAAGTTCAAAGAGTAAAAACAATTGAATTAGGCATCTAATGTTTTGAACATATAAAACAAATAAAGGTGAAATAAAAATGCTGTACCTTAGAGGATGGAGGGGGCAGAGAAGACTGGCGCGCAGCCTTTGCTGGTTCTGTTAACTGCCGAATCTCATGAAGCTGGCGTGCAATATTCTCCAAAAGTTCCATCTGTACTCTTTCCCTTTCACGATGTTCAACAGATATACTAAGTTTTTCTCTCCCCTCCTGCACGGTCCTTAACCTTTCACGAAGCCTGAAAATTTCACTGTTGATTTTTAACCTTTCAGTATCCACTGCAGACATGGAACTCCTCCGCATATGAGAAAGTACAGGTTTACACCTTGGGCCCATGGGTGGAAGCCAACTAGTCATGTCTGAACTGCTTCTCTTAATGTCCAGTTCAGTGATCAAATCACTAGTACCTGGACAGTCGGTGATACCAACAACCTTCTTTGCAACAGAGGCCTCCAAGGGAACATCATTTTTCCTATCAACTTCTGAAGTATCAGTGCTCAAAAACTGCTCAGCTTTGCTTCCATTTATATCATTACTGAAGTTGGATCCATTGCCAATGACATGGACATCATAAACATGAGAGTCGTTATCAAATACTAAATTACACAAATCATGAAATCCATGTTGTGCGTCAACGCTATGCTGTGTCAAATGTGGAGCGGCATTTGGATCACCTGACTCGGTTCCATTACTAGGGTAAATGTTCTTTTGGAATAGGTTGAAGTTCTCATTTCCCTCATGCTCTTTCCGTACTAAAGGGATAGTTTTCTCTGGAAAATTAATTTTTTGAGGGTCCCTTGGTGGCATGTACGAGTTATCATCTATTGATATCATCTCTTTCTCCTGAAGCTCCACGGTGCTATCACTACTGCATATTGACATCCGCGAAGGTAGTCCGCCTAAGTCCTCTTGTTTCTGGAAGCTAGCATTTTCACATGATCCTTGAACTGGGGACTCATTTCCAATATCTAGTGTACATTTCTGCTTATCAATAGATACAATATCATCTGAACCTATGTTTTCTATCATTACCTTCTTGTCAATAGATGCGCTAAGCTCATGCAGCATCAGAACAAGATCCTCATTTGGATCAAATGAAGAATCAACAGGTAGTTGAGGATCATTTTTCTCCCCACTATCATGAGCTAACTGTTTGTTTGCGAGACAATTCATCTGCCTATACACTTCAACTTCCTTTTCCAAAAAGTGCTTCTCCCTCTCTCTTCTTACCATGATTTCTTTGAGGATGTTCATTTCTTCAGCATCGTAAGCAGATTTTTCTTCTAATATCCTCTGGTACTGCCGAGCTTCCATTTCTATGAATGCCTTCTCCTCCTGTAGGCGCAGAATCATAGCCATAGCCTCATCTGCAGCAGTTGCAGCAGCACTTCTTTCCTTTTCAAGCTCTTGGTAAAGAGCCAAACCAGCAGCATGCTCTTCATCAAGTGCCCGTTTCAAGAACCTTATTGCATTTTTCTCATCTCCAATGGAACTCAGTTCCCCTCGGCCATGTTCTTTTAGATCTTCAGCAAATGGTACATTTTCCCTACTGTGCATATCTTCACCAGGGCATTTATTCAATTGAATGCTCTCAAAAACTCCCTGCCTCAATCCCATGATTGTGGGAGCCTCCTCATCATCTATATTCAAGGATAAGATGTAGTGTTAGCACGTGTGAACCATAATTACAGAAAATACTGCATACTTGGATTCTTTCAGTTCATTTCCACTTTCAAAACTTTCATGAACATCTCAAAAAACCAGTTCATAGTATATCAATGCATGTCTGATTAATAAGCAAAGCTGCAAGTTATCTTTAAGGATTGAAATAAACAATTATTACAAAGAATTTCTCAGAAAATGTTAAAATCTAACTTACTAGGTCAGAGAAGAGCTAAAGCTTTGTGTTTTACAAAATGCAGAATTGCTGACCGTATCAACTTTGTTATCCATACTCTAAAAATGGCCTTTGTTGCTAAGAGCTCCATTGGGACTTAAAAAAATATATAATGGCAGAACTACCCTTTGAAAAAATATAAGCATTCACACTATCAAGGTCCGTACACCTTGATCATATGATTCCTCCAATTTCATTCTTGCAGATATGCAATACATTAAATTCTTGTTAGTTGATCTTGTTTAACACCTGCAAACTGGTCATTTTATTTAAGTTCTGTTCCATATACAAAATCCTGAAGCTTATTCCTTCTGAAATTACGAATGACTTCTTATTTGCTATACTTCGTGATACCGAGTGTTGGACTGTTAAGGGACGTATATAAGACGAATATAGCAAAAACGAAGATGTTAAAATGTATTTGGGATTATGCTAGAATAGGTAAAATAAAAAAATAAAATATATGCCAACAAGTAAAGGCTGTGCCAATTGAGGATAAATTAATGGAATATCTATTTAGGCACTTGGAAATGTGTCTTGTGGGGACCCAAATAAACCCCCAGCCTGGCGATCACAAGATCATGGATCCCAGTACAACAAGTTAGAAGAGGGAGCTGAACCAAAAATAGTATGGCCCAAAGTGGTAGTGAATTAGATTGAATAGGTTTTGCAATAGATGAGGCCCCATGATCATGGATCATTTCCATTCTTAAAAGAGACGAGCGAGTGAAATTGCCATGAGTAGAAGCTCAAACATGGGAATTTTCTTTCATAACAAGTGGTGATCAGAGCTAAAAGGAGCTCTTTAGAATCAATAGACGTTCAACTTGTAAAATAATGAAAACAGTTTATAAAGCTTATAGTTCGTTTAAGATGGTTTGACATGCTTACAGGAGACGAATATCCCTGTAGATGAAAGATCAAACTTACCTTCCACGATATTACTACTAAAGAAGTGTTTCACTTGTCAATTAACATAAAATGATAACAGAATAAAGACTGGTGTCTTTGTTCAGTAAACAAATGCAGCCACGGCAGATACTCCTCTCAAATTTACAACAAACAGTTTTTCGGGGGGTTAAGCCCGAATTCAAATTATAGAAGCAATATTAAGTAAAACAAAAGCAGATCCACAAACAAGAAACAGACACAGAGATTTATAGTAGTTCACCCTCAACACAAGAGAAACATCCATGTGCCGACTTTCATTATGCAAAAAGAGATTATAATGGTAATCTTGCAGCCCCTCAATTCATATCTTACAGAAAATGCCCCCTCAAATAATCCTTTAAATATGTCAGAATATTAGGGATATCAAATATGTATAGAATCTATAATATTAGGTATCCAAAAGTGCTTGCAATAAATTACAATATAAGATGTGCTAGCAATCAAATAGCTACTGGTGTAACTGATGACAAGAAGTCAAGCTAAAATGGAATTCAAGGACCAAGAGAACTCACATTCAAAGTTACGAGCATCATCTTCATTATCCACGGGCAGTGAGATACCTCCACTGAATTCATTCCCTCTCTCGTTGACACTAGAAGGAGATATAGGAACAGCACCATCTTGCCCGCTACACAGGGAAGGATCATACGACGAAACCGATGAATAATTCCCACCATTAATGCCCCCCTTTTGACGCCGCCTCAATCCAAATCCACCCTTTCTTGTATAATTTACTACCCTTTTCCCCTTCATATCAGACCTATCCCTCCTCAAATTCAGCAGCCTCCTGGGTACATTCCTTGACCTCCTAGCATCTGATACAGAACTACATGATGCCTCACCTTCAATTTCAAGAATCCCCTTAACATTATCATTAATAACTTTACCGTTTTGATTATTTTCCCAAATGGAATCATTGAAAGGTAACTTTTGCTTCATAGAAAGTTGAACGTTAGATACTGTTTGAGTTGGGAAATCAACCAACAGTTGTTGTAAGCAGTGATTCCTATTTGGAGCGGTGAAAAAGAGGCCATTACAAGGGCATGGTAAGCACAATCCAAAAAAACCCAGAAACTTTGCTGCTAAATAGGACACAGCTGATGCACAAAGCAACAAGTAGGCTATAGCGAGATCAAGAAAAGCACCAACTAAACCACTTAAACTCCACATGTGAATGGCCCGGCATCCCATTTTTCATTGATGATTAAACTTGATTTCAACTGAATATTCAACCTTTGAAACGAACCAACCAAAGGGATGCTTATTTCTTTGAAAAATTGAAGAAACCAAGTAAAGAAAGGAAAAGGGAATTCAGAACTTCATCCAAAAAAGATTTATTTTTTTGGCTGGATATAAAGTAGGTGAGTACTGTTCAAAAGGAGGGCAATCGGGCCGAGGCGGAAAAATGAAGTATCCCAGCAGCATGTGAAGAAAATTGGGTAAATTTCATTTAGTACTGAACTTTAAGACAAAATTTAATTGAGTCACTAAACATTAATTTTATCTCAATTGGTCCACTAAACTACAATTTAGTTTCAATTTTCACCACTTGGCCACCTGCCATATTCCAAATTTATAAGAATTGCTTAATTGATAGTTACACTACAATGAATTTTCATGTAATTGTTGTGTGCATGTGAATTTACTGATATGAAACATCATGAAACTTTTAAATAAAAGGAAAATACTTTTTAACCCTTTAATCTAAAAATATTGTCATAATTCACTTTTACCGTTTGAATCCATGGTGTTACCTTGTGAATACGTGGAAGATTAATTATTGCATAACTTTTAACTAACTCAACTAAGCAATTCTTTTAGTTTGAGCATTTGAGGGAAGATAGTTGGGGAAATGTAAAAGAATGATAAATTGGGAATAAAATTAAAGTTTAGTGATCTATATGAGATAAATGAAATTGAAAAATCTAATTGAAGTTTTGTTTGAAGTTCAGTGACCATGAATGAAATTATCCAAAGAATTTTTTGGAACAGAAATAATATAATTTTGTTGAATTTGGAAATTGGAATATCTTGATAATGATTAAGATATGGGATCGAATTGTGAAATTATTACTTCACCGAAAAGTTATTATCATTTTTGTTTTTATTAGATAGACTATATGGTCTCACGTGCCATGCAATTAATTTAGACTAATGTTATTCATCCCTAGTGGAGATGAAAACATAGTTTATGTGGCATTAAATAATAGGTTAGATGAAAGATGAAATTAAATGAATTTTACCTATCATTTAATGTCACATTAACGTCATGTAGACTGTGTTTTCATTCCCAGTGTGGATGAATAGCATTACTCATTAATTTATGGTTCCATGTCCCTTTTGTGTATTTTTATGTTAGTTTTATTTTATTTACAAGTAGGGACAATGAAATTTGGAATTTTCAAGTGATTTTTCACCTTTATTTGGGTTTCATTCTTTTTAGTAAAAAGTTCGTATATCAACGAACATTAATTTTAACTACATATTTTATGAGACGCATAAACAGTACCTACTTATCCACATTTATTTCTCTCACTTTATAATTTTAACGAAAAAGGAAATTCAAACAAAGACTTATTAAAACAACTCTTGTTGGGTAGATACAAAAATAATTTGTCGGGTAGATACAAAAATAATGCCAATTGAACAAGGGTGATACTATAGGGGTCTAAGTGGTAGTGAGGTGGAAAAAGGATGGGAGAAGCTCAGGCTGTTAGTCTTGGACGTGGACGTGGGCGTGGACGTGGGCGTGGCTATCAGAGCTGAGGAGGGATGGCTTGGCGTGGGGTAGTGATTAGAAATGGGTCTAGTTCAATAGTGACACAACATATGACAAATGGATTAGAGATGCGTCTGGTTCAATAGTGAAACTCCGTTATGGTCTACGTTTTGCCAATGTTCATAGATTTTAGGTTGGTATTGTGGAATGCGATGCACGGAAAGTAGTGCATAATGTTGAGTTCTTCTCCATTTGGTCTTGGTTTACTTTAAGAGTAGTGCTATGGGTACATAGCACTACACATAATGGTTCACATAAGGGGCAAGTGACGCCCCTCCAATGATCATAAGGGGCAAGTGGCGCTTCCCCATTGGAGAGGCGCCACTTGTCCCTTATGTGAACCATTATGGGAAATGTTATGTACAAATAGCATTTTCCTTACTTTAATTTTGTCTAATGTCATTGCTTTGATGAAAGAAGTAAGCGTTAATACAGGACAGTTTTATTCCTTGCAAGGGGGTAAGGGACCCACAAGCTTGCTTTATTTTTTTACTACTTCCGCAATTGCATGTAATATACTAATATGGTTGATTATATTCCAATTTGTGTGCTTGTTCGGCATTGTTCATAAAATGTTTATAATCAGTCAAACTTATTTTTAGTTACGTATTTTGTGGGACCGACGTATAAGTACTATCTACTTATTCATTACTTATTTATTTATTTATAATTTAAATCATGTATAAATAATTCCCAAACATGCCTTCTATCTCACTTGCCGTTATGGGTGGTATCATTTACTGAAAGCTTGTTTTGATTGAAAATAATAATTATAATCAATTGGGCTACTCTGATTGGACAAAAATACTTGTCCTATCTTTTGAGTTTTGGGCCATAAGTGATTTGAGTATAGAGATCTTTGATCGAGAATCGAGAATCAAGCTGTGAGACAAGTTGTCGATATATGAAGTTGTAATAGTTTTGATTGTGACATGTTCTGATAAATGATTGTGATCTATAAATTGTGCGACTCTGATAAAATCTGTGACCTTTAGTTTTTTTTAGTGTAAATTGTAACTTAATTTGTTTTACCGTGAGTTTTTTACCTTTATACCTAAGTATTTACCAACATGTGACCTATGAATTTGTTTGTCTACGACATGTTATGTTATATAAATGTGACGCACGAGCTCATATGATTGTAACTAGTTATGTTATCTAATTGAGACATAAGCATATAAATTCATGTGATCACCTATTTTTTTTAAGAAAAAAATTAATTCCTAATTAATGAAATTCAAATTAAAAAACCTGTTTCAGGTAATTTTCTCTTATTAGATTGCTTGTACATCATAGAAATTCAGACTAAAAAACATATATAGCTGAATAATAAGAATGACTATATTCGCATCACAGTTATTTTAATTGTAAAGAAAATTCCTAATATTTATTAGTGCACTTATTTATCCATTTTTTTATCGCGTTCTTATCTCCAACTCTATCGATTGAGTAGCGTATATTGTATGTAACGACAATTTCCTTCGAAATAACGGTTAGAAAAGTACAAAGAAACGTATTTTTAATAAGCAAAAAAATAATATCAAATACAAAAGTTCGACAAAATAAAAATGAGAATAGCTATGAAATGAACTAAAAAGAGTAGAATTGCAAAAAAGAACATGGTATCAAAATAAGCAAAAGGTCTTCATAAATAAGATTTAAATGATAGGCGTGACTCTCTCTCTCTCTCTTAACAACTTCAACAAATAGAAGAGAATAACGAAAATAACTATGAAGTTTCTTGATCCATATAAATCAACTTCGAGAATATACAAACCACTGACACTACAGTTTACATTATGGCTCCAAGACACAGTTAAAAAAAGGAACAGTCGTTCGATTCATCAAATATTTGCCGTCGTCCACTGGGCTGCCGGCATATTGCCATTAAAAAGCGACGGGTCTCCACTACTAAACAAAGTCCATGGTCTTTTTTTCAGTGCAGCAGCCTGTGGTACAGGGAGAACTGGACTTCCATTCAACACCAAGCTGTTGCCAATGGAAGGCGGTAAGATATTCCCATCACAGTCATTAGTAACCTTGACAGCAAGTTTAGAGAGTTCTTCCCTGGCAGTTTCTAGCCCGGCAGAGGCCACATCTTCGTCTTTAAGAGCTTTACAAGCTTTATCAAGAATTGATTGCAGATACTTTTCCTGTGCTTCGATTCGGATCTGGAGACGACGCTCGACCTGCTTTTTGTGGTCTTATAAGAAGAAACTCTTTCTGCATCGTAGCTTGGTAATGAAATTCAAACTTAATGGAGCATAGGGTAACTAGGTGATGAAAACCAATGTGGCATTGACCTTGGTTTATATCACATATATTCCAGAAGTTGCAGAATTTAGATATTCAATTTGGGGTTTTCGATATTTTACATATACTTCTGCAGAGATTTAGGTGGTAACATACAGAACAATCTCTGTTATTCATAAGAAAATAAGTTTTAAAATAAATAATTTTTTTTAGTTAGGTAAGTCGAAAATAAGTTATTTGTACGTAATCCGTATTACTGTCAAATAAGTAATATTTTTTAATGATAAGAAAACAGTAACCATTTCATAAATGCTTGAAAAAAAAAACTATAATAAGCCAAATACGGATAATGTTAGTAAGCTAAAGCTAAAAGTCATCAAGCAGAAATACAAACACATGCGTTCATGCACAGCAAAAATCAGACAGTTGCATAAACAGGTGATATCCTAACCTCCAGCTGCTCATGCAGTCTTCGTTGAACTTCCATCTGTACTCGTAGAGCCTCAGTAACCTGGTAGCCACTGGTGAAAATATGAAAAAGAAAAACTAAGATCAAATAGAAACAACTTTTGGTCAGAGAAAAGAGGATATAGCATACTCATTTATATCTTGTGACATTATTCTTGATAAAGATGATGTGGATGAACCAGTATCCTGACTCTCAGCGCCGCAAGATGCTGCAGCCAAAGCAAAGCCAAATAAATGACTGAGAGTTTGAAATGCTAGGAGTGCTTCATAAGATAGCCAACATGTTATCCATTAAGCACTTATTTCCCGCACTCTCATTTACACCAGATTTTGAAGACTGTCATTCCACAGGAACTATTCAATGCCAGCATTTTCATTTTCTCCATAAAAAGACTCAATATTGTCTTACATAGTAACTGATGAAAAGATCTTTAAAGTAGGTATGAATGAAAACATGAATTTATCAATTATGGAAACAGCATCACAATTAACAAGCAAAAAAAGAAATCCACTAACACCAAAAAAGCAAAAATAAAGAAAAGAATATAACATATCATTTTGATTAAGAATGATTACAGGAAACCCCTTGAACTTGTTTGAATGGAACACAATATTTTTCAAATGAATTTGAATTAGTAAAAAATCGGGGAGTTTGGCAAATCAACAAGAGCATGAGAGTGACTTTTAAGGA